GTTTTTATTGGGTTCTAGACCTGAACTCGGTTGGATCCAGGTCCAAGGTCCAAAACCCTGGATCCAAGTTGGGTCCGATTCCAAGTCAACAGGTCCAAAACCCTGGATCAAAGTTGGGTCCGATTCCAAGTCAACCAGACCCGACCCAACCCATTTCCACACCTAACCAAAATGAAAGAAAAAATAAAATAAAATTCGTTGGTCTTAATTGGGATATCCTGGGAGAAATAATTAATAGCCAAAACTCCTTTTTAAGGGGCGTTGAAGAAAGTACAATTTAATCAGTTGAGGATTGTTAATATATGGGAAGAGAGCTAACGTTGCTTACCAATTTAGGACATAATATGTAAATTTGCACAATCAAAATAAAACTTGGGGCCTTTCGGTCTTTACTATTTTAATCAATTGGAGAGCACAACTAAAACTTGCATTTATTTAAGAATGAACAACTACATCTTATATATTTAACCAAAAAAAAAAACTATTACACGTCATGTAGAATTTAAATTTTTTTACGATAGATCAGGATGCCAATGATTAGGAACTATCCTCGGCCACCAGTGGATTTGGCTGAGCCTAGTATCAGGCCAAGACCCCTAGATAAATTTTTTTTAATAAAATTTAAAAAAATAAAATGAAGCTGCTTCAAGTCTAATAAAACCAAAAAAGACTTTAAAAAATCCAAATAAGTTTAAAAAATATTGAGAATAGATTTTAAAAAAAAATTATAGTTGGAGATATTTTAAAAAAAAAATTAAAATATATTTTAAAAAAAATTATGCCAAAAAAAACTCACTAATCTTTGTCAAAAAAATCCAATTTATGTATTCAAAAAATAGAGCAATCCTTTTTGGGATTTTTTGAATTTTTACCCCAAAGTTGTACACAGCTCGCGGTAACTTGGCTGCGCCGTATTCCAAGTCGAATAGGACTCGGGCGAGTCCCATTACACTGGCCTTAAGTATGCTAATAGTACTAGTATACCCGCATAAAAGCAGGAAAAAAAAAATCAAAGGGAAATTTCGTACCAACTTGGTAACATTTACAAAATTACCCTTTGGGTTATATTTTTAGAAAATTGATGGTGAAGTCTTATTTTTTTTTTGTATTTTTTATTTTTTTCTAGTTTTTCCCTGATTCGATTTTTATGTTTCAAATATTAAACATTTTTATTTTTTATATTTCTATTTTTTGGCATTTGTAGAGCGGTTTGATGACAAGATATCGGCCCGTGCTATTTCTACATCGGTTTGATAATAGCAACATCGGACCACCCTATGATATAATCATAGTTTTTCCCTGATTCGATGTTTATGTTTCAAATATTAAACATTTTTATTTTTTATATTTCTATTTTTTGGCATTTGTAGAGCGGTTTGATGATAAGATATCGGCCGGTGCTATTTCTACATCGGTTTGATAATAGCAACATCGGACCACCCTATGATATAATCCATTCTTTTTTTTTTAATGTTCCAATCCAAACAAAGGTTCAGGGGATGATGAAGGTATATTTAATTAAAAAAATTGAAGTATGGACCCAACTAACATACGGGTATCAGAGATATCTTGTCCATCGGACGGATGGCCCACCAAATTGTTAAAAAGAAAAAAAATAAAAAATAGAAAAAATAAAGATGTTTGAATCGAGAGCAAAACTGATAAATAAAAAATATAAAAAAGAAAAAAGCCTCCCCGTAAATTTCACAAAAATGTAAACCAAAGGGTAATTCCCTAAATTTAAATTTTCTAAAAACAAAACTTTTTTAAAAAAATCTAAAACAAAACGAAAATGAAAAAGAATTAAAATCTCCCATACCTCGCCTTTTCTTTTGAATTTTTCTGCGTTTAAATATAAATAGAGCTAGCACCACACCCAGGGCCAACGCCGCTACCGCACTCACAATGCCGACCACCATGGCCACCATATTGCCTGCAATTACCAATGATCAGTCCAAGGTTGTATAGAGCCGAGGCTCTAAACAATCAAAGTAGAGTGCACCTTCAAATAGTGTCGAAAAATGTAGTTTCAATACTGAAAATCTTTGTGATGGACTTAAAATATATTTTTATCTTTAATTATAAAATTTATAACTTCAAAAATAGTGTAAATAGAGCAGATCTATAAAAACTTAAATATCTTGAAAATTGATGGTCCAAAAATGCATTACAAAATACACTATTTCCAAAACTTGAAATCCATTTTTTTTCATGTCCATGCATCTTGATGTCGAGATGATCAATTTGAGGATATTTGACCTTCAAAACAACCTCTTCTAATAATTTTTTTTGAGGTGGGCTCTAATTTCATTGTTTAGAGCCTCGGCTCTGCAATAAACTCTTTCCTATAAGGAATAGCCTCATTGATTTTAGACCAGTAAATCCCAAGGTTTTAAATCTTAGTCGAGTCCACTAGGACTCAGCTGCGTTAGTCTGACTCAGTAACTTGTTGATCCGAGTCTTAGGTGCAAACTCGCAAATATGAAAAATCATAATAAAATCATAAAATGAATTTGTGAGATCGATGTATAAAATGTTTATATATAATTATGATATTTTTTAGTAGGTTTTGTGTTTTGTGTTTTTCTATGAGATGCTCTACTTTCTTCTTGTTTAGATATTCCTTAATTGTTTATAATAATAAATGTTTTTTTTTCCAAACTTAATCTTTTATATATTTTTTCATCTTTTCTAGAGTTTCAATATGTTTATAGTTTCGTTTGATTTTTTTTTAAAAAAATTAAAACCATTTTTGAATTTCTTTTGAACTCTTTTTGGATCCATACACTCTTTAAGGAAGTCCAGAAGGACTTGTCCAACTTACTCGGCTCTGTCTCAAGCCCGAGCAAAGTATAAGCAAATATCTCATTGTGCAGCTCCGCTTCACGATTATTGAAGAGCACAGTAATGACGATATTTTCTTTTGTTTTTCCTACTATTTTTTAATTTTTAGTTTTTTAAGGGATTTAATTTAATAGATTAAACAAAATTCCTTTTTCAAACTATTTCAACATTAATACTCAATAAAATGGTGTACAGTCAGCTTGGCAAACCTGTTGAGGAGAGTGTGTAAGCAAGAATGCAAGCCTGTTTTTGTATGCAACTGAATGTGTGTGGGCGCACCTACTTGTATGCGTGTTTGAGTTACCGAATGTGTGTGTGTGCGTGCACACGCATAGACGTATTTGAGTTTGTGTATGTAATGTATGTATGACAGAGTGAAGTAGATGAATGAGCTATGCCACCACACACCTCTAGACTGTCCCCCAGTTGCAGCTGTGACATTGTTCAAGAAATCAAAGTCCGAGTATCTCAAGAAGCAGCCAGTGTAGAGGGCGCGGCCCTCAGACATCGGCAGGCACCCGAGCACGGCCCTTGCTGCACTCCCCAAGCATGCTCTGCACGCGCTCTCGTTCAATGTCCTCCAACAATTCCCCAACACGTAAACTGATGCATTATTCACCCCCTCCGACCCCCTCCCAAAACCCATATTGCCAGGGGCTTCGAGCACAACCCTCTGCACAACTCTCTGTGCTGCACTTCTAAACTCAGAACCCGGTTTACTCAAATTCCCGCAAATGTGGGTGTCATTAGGCCCCGAAAACTCCCCAAAGAAGCTATAATTCTCTCCTCGCATAAAGCATCCGTCCAAGAAAATGCGTCCACCATTTACTGGAAAACACTGTGGGAGCAGAGTACGGGCCTCTGCATAGCACAAGATGCAGTCATTTGGTGTCAGGTCTCCATAACACTGAGCCATTGCAAAGCTCGTGTCAGGGCCCGAGCCAGTGATTGCGAGACCAAAGTTGCTGCGGTTTACACGAATTTGGTCGCTAATCTTCTCCATTGTGGACACGAAATTGGGCACATACAAGCTTGCGTTGTGCTCTGGTTTCAAGCCACATATGAGTCTTATGCTGTGACTGCGAGAATCGCCATGTCCTGTATATAGAAATTGCAGAACCAGCAGCAGAACCAGCAGAGGCAAAAGAGGACGGGAAATAATAGATGGTTGCTCCATGTTCTTGTTTTGATTTCACATAGCTCCTGAACAAGAACAATTACAAATGGGATGGGGTTAACAAACACTTAAGCATGAGAAAATAGCATCATTTTTTTTATTTTTTTTTTCTTCATTTTTTGGCCTTTTTTCCTTCTGGGGCGAGTAAGGACCAAGGAGGAACTCATTTCTAGTGAAGAGGGGATTCATTTTCCATGGGAAAGTATAACATGGCACAACCTGAAATATTACCCAGCACTCACCAACAATCCACGGCAGATGTCAAAGGTTGATCCAGTTTTGAGTTATGACAGACTTAAACAGATGAATGGTTGACAGCAACCATTTGTTGTTGACACTGGAGGACTAATATTCCGCTAAACTATTGAGCAATATGCTGACAGTCTTATTAATTAAAATAAGGGAAATATCATTCAGGGGCATGAAATCCCTTAAAAGGTCATTAAAGAGGTCAAATTACCCTATCATATGAGATATGAGGGTATACTTTTTTTTTTTTTACTTCGATAACTCTTTCAATTTTTTTAAAAAATACCCAAATTGTTATTGTTTAGTATTTGAAATGAGTAACAGAAGGGCATTTCAATAATTTGATCCAAAGAGTTTTCAACTAATGACAAAAATACCTCTATTTGTTCCTTTTATTATAATTAAAAAATACTCTTTCAGCATTAGTAATACAAAACAACTAAGGGTACCTTCATAATTTGATACATGCAAAGCGTTTAAATGTAAAATGACAAAAATAACCTTAAATGTTCTGCATCACTAATACTTAACAGTATGGTCCTTATTTGTAACGCAGAACAACTCGAGGTATTTTAGTCATTCGGATGAGACCTCATAGGGGTCAAATAGTGCTGGGAATTTACCCAGACCTGACCCGGTTCAGGTCTGGGTCCAAATCTTAGACCCGAATAGTGAATTGGGTCGGGTTTGGGTCCAGGTGAACCCTGGACCCAACCCAGTTGTTTTAGAATATTT